CCTTTTCTTTGTGAATAACAGAGATTAAGTTGGTCAGAAGTTTTTCCTGGAATCTTCTTCGGTGCGTGAGAAGTTCTATTTTTACAGCAATCCTGCAAGAAACGACATCTAATATAGGAACCAACGCTCAAAACCCAATGATTTATCAAAACATTTCCTTATAGCGATCATGTAAGACCTAGCAAATTTGATCTGCTTTTGTCGATTGAAATTGTTGCATTTTCAAAAGAAATTGGATTTTATGAAAAAAGAAGAAGCATCTCCTATGTGTGTGAAAATCAAAGTGCGACCACGTATCTCGCCGCTTACTTAATGTTGTATGTACTTTATCTTGTTTTATTCAAATATCATTCTATAATTTTAGTCTATGCTACCATCTAGGCTCTGACCAGATTCTCTCCAAGAAGTACACGCATCCATCTTTAGTTGGAATTTTAACAGTTCTACAAGAAGTTTACTTCTCGATGAAGGGAAAACCATCTCGTATAATTCAGAATAATTTTATTTTATTTACTTTGCTACAATCAGTTTTTTTAATTCCCTTCGCCTGACGATTCTCTATGAATATAATCTACAGTTATCTACATACCTTTTTAAACATGCCGATGTTGCCAAGTTCAACAAATCCCTTCAATTCCTTTCCTACCTAAAAGGACATAACCTTCGTTATGTCATCTTCTTTGGTACAACTTGCTGGCGATTCTCAAAGCTAAAAAAATAACAATTAATCTAGCCATGAAGTCTAAAAGCAAGACAAAAAGATAGTTAAACGTGTTAAAAAACTAGATCAATTGGACTGTCAGACAGAAGTAAGTCTATTTCCCTGAACAGATAAAATTAAGACATAGCATTTTGGTTACGTCAATTTTCATCTAAAAGGCTAAGAGGTTGCTGAGGTTGTTTTTTGCCAAGCAAAAATCAAAGGTATTATGCTCCCAACTTTAGGTATTTCTTTACATACTGTTTCTGCTATCATTCACCTCAGTCCAATTTCTAATTAAGAATGCTAAATTGGATCAATCCATAAAATTCCAATGCATAAAGTAGAATTTTCGAGAAAAACAAATTCTTCTCATAAGTTAGGATATATTGTAGGAATCGAAATTTTCTGCTTGTTCAAAGGATACCATAGATTACAAGTGCAGAATTACAAAGGATTACAAATGCGGAATAACGATTTCAAAAGCAAAGTAGAAATAGTCCAAACAAACAGCATGCTTTATACTGGACGGTACTTCACCAGAATTTGAGTTTTTTATTTAAAAACAATATTGATTTCATTTTACTGAAACAGGTAAATACGTTTTATTTGCACGTTTACAAACGAAAGGGCAAGAAAAATGGTGTTGAAAGAATAACATTAAACGAAACATGAAATAATCTGAATGTCTAGTTTTCAATATTACAGATTACGACGTCTGTGATAAAGAGTGCACAAAAGGCATTACAGTTACAATCCCATGAACAGTTGGTGGTTGAAAACCTCGAGGAGGGGATCATCTTGCAAAATATTTTTTTCTTTTTTAAATGTTAAAGAACGCAAGGCCTTTTAGCCTTTAAACGTTTTTTTAAAATGGTGTCCTGATCATCTTCTTCTGACCTTGGAAAAAGCCATTGTCGATCAATCTAACAATGGCGGCTTTTTGTAGACAGAAGGAGTTCGTTTTCTCTCTTGGACTCTAGTGGTAAATTTTCTTTAGGCACGTGGCACTGATTGGACAACTATACCGGTCTTTAAGCCAACATGTTATAAAATGTTTACTTAAGCCATTTTCAAGTTCTTTAACGCCAAAAACTGGAAAGATACTACCGTGTGCGTACATATTTCTCGCTGCTAGCTGAATGTGGTATGTTCCACCATTCCAAAACTTTAAAAAACCGAAAATTACGTAAAATTAACTCTAAGCTATAACTTCAAATTATTGCAATAATATACCATCTATACCCTTGCAGTTTGTCCTGGTAGGGATAAAGGCATCCAGCATTTAAGTTGTTTTATAAGGAGATCACTTCTTTCTAAAAGATATACTTAGCTATAAATATGACGATATCTAATTTCATCATTAATACCTATCACTTAATCAATGTCTTGTTTCTACCTACTTTTATTCCAATAGCTCCAAAGCCTTTAGGGAGAGAAATTGGTTGCAGGGCAAGCATTTGTTAATATCAAGAAGAGGACAATAGCCTATTGTTATAAACAAAGGGAAGTCACTTGGGCTGCAGGGGCATTTGCCCCCGTAGTTAGTAAGTTGATATGGTCCCTAAATAACTTTTTTAGAAGAAAGGATGGCTAGAAAGTTGTTTGTGATTTTGAGTGCTATTGTTCAGTCCCCCCGACTTTTTCAGATTTTAAATAAAGGAACATACAGTACGCAACCATATTTTCCAATATAGAGATATCAATAGAAAAATCTTATATTTTATCCATTTATGTACGTTTTTCACGCGAGATGGGTCAGTACACCTCTAATTGCAAGACAGCTACTACTGATCCCTAAAAGAATTTTGATGCAATTATCAATTTCCCGAACCTCCCTTAAATCTCCTGGCTGAAATTTGATTAAAAGCTCCTGTTTTAGGATCGGACTTTTTAACAAATTGTTGATTTTAAATTCAATCATATTCTTTATCTGTGTCATCTTTCTTCTTCGTGTAAAACTTGCAAAAAATTCTCAAAGTTAAGCATACAAGAATACACCCAGCCATAAAGCCTGCAAGCAAGACGAACAGATGCTTTAGTCTCATGATATCAAGGCTAAAGAAAGTGTTTGTTCTTTTGCAAGGAAGTTTTCCCAGCCATTTGGCATAAATGTAGTCAGCATTACCAGATGAAACAATATGATTGATAGCTGTGTTGATCCTTCTCCTCCATGACCAATTTTTGCGTGCTACGATTCCTATCGCACGATCTCGTTCTGTCAGATCCATGACTCTCAAAGAACAGCTATGATCGATTGACGCATAATATCTCAAAGTTGGACCGTCATTCATAAGTAGGTCTATTTCCCTGAATGAGTAGAATTAAGACATAGCAGTTTGGTTAGGTCAATTTTCATCTAAAAGGCTACGATTTGTGAGGTTAATGAGGTTGAAAATTCTGGGCCAAACAAATAGCAAAGGAATGAATTCCATTTTTATATCTTTACTTATTGTTTATGCGATCATTCACCTCTTTAAATCTACAGTTGACTCCGCTTATAGGCACACAACCTGTTATAGTCACAAAAGTATATGCAAAACTATTCAATTTAGCTACGCTTGCAGTCACAAATTTACAGTCAAGCAACGTTGGGTATGGCTATGACCGGAGTCTAATGTACTTTCTGATTAAGAATGCTTAATTGAATCCGTCCAAAATTGCCAGTCATACAATAAGAAGTTGCTGTTTTAAATAGGAAAATAACTAGAGGGGGAAGGCAAGTAAGCTTTATCATCTAAAGTTGGTTTTAATGCTAGCAGGCACTTTAAAATGATTTTATCATTTTTTCTGCAGCCAGGTATTTGCTAGAAGGTAATTCACAGGCTATATAAATTGATTAATGAAAATTTGTGATATCAGAATCTTAGAATAAGGACTGAAGATCGTCATTTTTCAAACACTCAAAAGTTTGAGCAAAATCTGAGAAGGAAGCTTATGCTGATAGACAAGGTTAAGAAACATAACTTTCTCGGTTTTTACAAGGATCTTTTTCACCACAGACAACTTAGAAAAAATCTTTTCTTTTTCCCGCTATTTTTGTTGGTTCTGTGCTAAATATCTCGATAGTGTTTCGCTAAAGCAATAAAAATAACTGAAATAAGTTATTTGAAGTATTGGAGAAAGGAGGACAGTAGTTGATTGGGATAGAATTAAATAGTTTCAGTTTTGATTTATCTTAAAATGTAAAGTTGTACATGAAGAATTATTTTAGCTCCTAATACACCTCAAGTTTTCTTTTTTCATACGCGTATCAATTCAGCATTTTCACAATTATTTAGCAGTACAGCTTTTTTGCCTTAAGCCAAATTGCAATCATTAATACGAGCAAGAAAGTTTTTTTAAAAATAGCAGCTAAATTTTCTTACTTGCGCTTAATTTTTTTCACACATTCATCCAAGCTCGGGCAGTGTGTCAGTCTTCCATAAATATTTCTAACTCTGGCATCTGAATGTGTCTTGATCAATCCACCAACAAATGTACCAACAGGGATCCCAATTTTCATCATACTTTCTTTTTCGATTATCTGGAAAATGCAAAATAAATTATGCTATATTGATAAAGTTTTATTTTAACAGTTTTTACATAACTAAAGTGAATAGCATTCACATCAATTTTTTTTTATTTTTGATGGCTACAATATATTGTATTGTAATGGTAAGAGACGACAGGTATACTTTCTTTTGCCTTGTTTGGATTAAACCTCTTGTTCTGAAATCTGCTTCAAACTTGGCACTAAGGAAAAATTTTGATATCATTCCGCTACCTTTGAAAACACGATGAAAGCCTAAATAAGAATAATTTCTTTTATTAAGAGGGGGTTTAATTTTTCAATTTCGTTACATTTCGTTACATCCTTAAAACACTAATGAGGAAATACCTCCCTTAAAAAACCTCAGCACGATTACATAGTAAATTCAGATACATTTAGCAATACCTTTGGATCAAGCAATCCTGACACTAGGGGTGTTTCATCCAGTACTACCAGGTAGGTGATAAGGTTTCCAGAATATGCCGATATCATAACAACGGATACAAAAGAGAAAGCAAGTACCATTGTCCGACTTCCAGATGATTTCGGTTTCTTTTCAATTATTTCGCCTGTAAATAAGGTGCCCCATACATACGTTGCACTTTCCAAAGTACCAAAGTCTTCCATGTCGACTAAACATCTTTTTTCTATTTGAAATCCACTGTAAGGACTGACACGTTCAATTACAAAAACGATCACAACTAGCCCTACAATCATTCCAATTATTCCGATATAAAGATTGTTACTGAAAGGGCCAAAAATACTCGATTCATCAAAACTGCTTCTCTGTATGTAGGCTATGGCAATCGGAGCAATAAGGTGGGGGTTTGAGAACCACAGTGCTTTGGATCTCCCTTTGTTCTCGGTTAGATCTATGCCAATGTCGGCTTTGTTTTCAAGCACTTCTCTAACAATTCCATCACTTTCACCTGTTTCTAAGTCATAAGATCCATATTTTCCGTCTCTTGAGGTGGAAATTACAGCCTCAAAATGGAGCTTTGTTTTCAAAAGATTTAGTAAATCGATGACATAGCCATAAGCACATATCTTCACAGTGTCTGTTCCATTGACAAACTTCTTTCCCAACATGCCAGTACGACCACATGCTGCTCGGTCGGTGTGTGTTTTACTCACCTCTTCCACAATCACCCAGGGTGCAGTGGTGTGCGCGATTGCCACTCGAACCACTGGCTGCAAATCTTCACCTTTGCTTGTGGAGTGAGAATGCTTTTCAGGCTGTATTGTTAGCGCATTCAGAGTAAACCACGATCGAGTGTGGGTGTTAAGTTCTTTGACAGTTGATTTTCTTGCAAAAGGAGATTTTCAAGGATTCATAATTGCTTCAAAGAGGAAACATATCGACCACAAGGCAAGCAATGCGGAATATCATGACCCATCGAGAGACTGCAAGACCAACTCTATTTGGTCAATTTTGATGGGCTGATTACAAAAACCGATGTTATAACGGGAAACTCTTTACAAAAAAAGCCTCTATCGCATGTTCAAATTCTATTTTTATCAAAATAAGAACGTTTAACAATAGTTTTTCAAATTGATTGATTCTTATCAATTTCGATGAGATGAGTTCAAAAATCGATATTTTACAGAAAAGTAGGGTATCAGAAAGCCCTTTTTCATGTTATAACCTGATTTTATGTTAAAACTCTATTTTTTGTTATTTTATGTTATATATCAATTTGAACTTGACACGAAAGTTTGTATCATATGTTCCAAGCATTCCAAAGTTCCTCATGAATTGTTGCGCTTTAACATTGCTTACCAGAATAATGGTCCAATTGTGAGATAGGGCTCATGAAATTCGCAAAGAAACTTGGAAAGGATGTGCATTGGAAGAGAATCTGGTATTATGTACATATCTCGAGGACCTAGGATCATATCACTCATCTTTTTAGAGTAAAGTCCCTGGTAAATTTTATCATCAAGTGAGAAAATGGTGACACAACACCGATGTTAAGAGTTCCAATTTTGATAAAAACGAAATTCGATCATGAAAAAGAGGCTTCCTGGTAGTGAATTTATAATATCGATTTCCATTATTCACCGTTCCGGGCTGATATTATCGATTCTGCATCTCGCTATCTACAGAGTTTTCTCAAAAATAGACTTCAGATTCGAAATCTTCATCTTGAAATTTGTTCACACTAAGAATGTCATGTTGTTTCAACCATTGGCTCGCTTTTTTTTGAATATTTAGATATTTCTTTAGATTTGAAAAAAAAATTAACTACAGCAAAAATTCCATTGAAATGTGTCTAGGAAAAGCTAACTTTGCAAATGGGGTTATTCGGTGCCTGACGTCCCTAACAACATGAAATTCTTGACACAGACTAATTTCAATATGAAGATTCCTGTCCTATGATCCATTATCGGCAAATACGAAGATAAAGAATTTCCAGGAAGAGAGATTTAACGCTTCAAACCCGACCAAATAGAGTTGGTCTTGTCAATTCCCTCCGTGTGTGACGATAGTCCCCCGTGCTCACCTGGTCTTAGACTGTAACTTCGATACATAAATTTACTATACATAATAATGATAATAATAATAATAATAATAATAATAATTTGCATGTTTGCCAAGCTGCTTGCTAAACATTTATAAAGTAGCGATGATTTCCTCCCCCTGGCTTTCTGATCTTGGAAATAATGCTTTGAATGTTATGAGAAAAATCATTTAGAACAAATTTGGAAAGCTTATTTGTGCTGCCGCATTTTCTTGATCTTTTTTCTAGCAAAACTTTCATTATAATACCTCAACTGGCCCTTTCTCCAAAGTCAATCTAGCCACTTAATTTAAGAAAATTTGGGATATCCTGACTATCATTTCTTCTTGCCAACCACTGTCAACGCAAAAAATTCCTAATGCATTATTGCACTTACTTTCCTGCAATGCCATTGCGATTCCGATTTAGACTAGCCAAGTTTCGTCGCTGAATCTTCTCTACGATGTAGTCGGAAGACACGGAAACAGGGACGTTATCTATATATCGATATATGTGAGGAAGCAAGTTGCATTGCCTGTGGAGTTGTCCAGTAGATCGTGTGGTCATCATCCAATGCAACTCCTCGCGATACCCTGCCACGCCCAAGTGTTTTACCATGTTAACGATTTTAACCGTTTTCTTTTCATCAGCATCAACAACAAGCACATTGCTTTTGTGAATATTTAAGGCAAATATGGTCCTCTTATTGACATTGCTTATCATTTGCATGCCTGTAATATTTAGGCCATACTCTGCGCATTTCTCAACAATGCGGGTAAGCGAGGCACGTCCAAATTGCGAGTCATCCACTACGACGGATATTCCTTTAGATGGGAGAGGATATAGATTGACCAACTTTACCAGGTCGTCAACTTCAGATAAATGGTTTGTAATCTGGAACGAGCAATAGAAATATCGGTAGAGAACATTCAAATGCAACCTGCCAGTTACATGCAGTCAGTTTTTGCAAAGAGCATTTGCATTTACCTAGTACTAAGCTTTTTGTATTCTTTCCAGACCTTTGTGGTAAAAGTTAATTCAAGCATTACAAGCCAGGTGTTCGCATTTGCATGAAGGATCATTTTGTTGACCAATTGCAAAATAGCATGGAAATTAATCTGGGTCTTTCTATTTCAGGCAAAATAGACAAGGCAAGAAAATCCTTACAAGAATTGGAGGTGAATCTTAAGGCAATTGTCTTATGGCCAAGGATTAATCTTAAGGTGAATCTTAATGGCCAAGAACCGTGTCCAAACTAGGCCCGTCCCCTAAGATAAGTTTTAATATGTATTTTGAGACTAATTTTTATAGGGTAAAGCATTGGAAACCAAACCAGCATCTAAAACAATGAAATGGGATGTTTGTAAAAAGACTTATGAAAAAACTTTTTTGGCTAACTGAAATAATGCCGAGCCATGCAATAAACCATAGTCAATAGAAAAAACTCGCCGATTGTTTCGCGCTCCGACTTAGAGCCAGCCTATAGATTATTCCTACCTGTCACGTGACTGACACGTGACATCGCTGATTTGTGTAAGGCAAAACACGGCTGGGATCTTGCAGCCACGAAGGCAGCCATCGAGACTCAGCAACAAAAAATCTACACCTCAGTTATGAACGGCAAAATATCATATCGGAAACGAAAAGAAAAGAGATCAACTGGCGAAAAGGAATTTAGAGATGCCGATATGCAGACAGATCCAATAGCAGAGTTACCATGCAGAAAGGATGATGAGGATTTTGAAAGATTAGTTGTTGACTTTCAAGATGATAAAGAACACACCTTTCATCCTTTCCATCCTTGAGGGCTGAATTTGAGAAGAGTCAAAATGATGGGAGCTGCACAGATATAATGGATCCGCAGGGGAAAATGAATCAGCTTAACGAAGCTTCGGTCCGCAGCCTACATGAGCGCATTTTTTCCCTGGAACGGCAAATGGCTTATCAACGAGATATTATTTCTAAGTTATTAGATGGGCCTAAGCAAGATACGTCAACGAGCCAAACCAGAATTCCCTCAGGAAAATCAACCCATGCTACCTGTGTCACAAAGAACGAGACTATAACAAAGTTTCCAAATAAAAGTAGTAGAAATGATCAAATTATCAAAACGAGTGCATAAACAAATTTTCATATGGCGGATGCTGATGTTTATGTTCACGGAAAAAGCCTTAAATTCAAACTCAAAAGCAGGTTTATCACATTATACTTGAATGTCAAAAGTAAAATATTTTGAATTAATGCAATTATAAGAAAACGTTTTATTGGCTTTGTTGGCTTTCATGAAGAGCGTCTGTTTGACTGCGACCAAAAGCCAGGTGTCTATTTTCGGTATGTGGATGACACATATACTATTTTCAAAACAGAGGCTGAGTGTGATATTTTCCTAAAACGCCTTAATGGTCTTCACACAGCCCTACATATTACATTTGAAAAGGAAGAAAATAACTCCTTGCCATTTCTGGATGTTTTGGTTGAAAAATCTGACACTGGATTTCTCACCAGTGTATACCGTAAACCCACATTTTCGGGGTTATACACTCGATGGAGTTCGTTTTGCCCAAAACAAAGAAAAATCAGCCTCATCAAAACGCTTACACATAGGGCACTGATGATTTGTTCCAAGTCTAAACTCGACTCGGAACTTGAAAAACTAACTAAGATTTTTCTGGAGAACGGCTATCCAGAAGATGTTATTTCAGTTTACATTAAGGAGAAGATAGGAAATTTCTCGGCTGACGTAAAATTTGGTCCTCAAAAGTGTCCGGTCTATCTAAAACTACCCTGGATCGGTAACAGCTCCCTACGGTTTGAAAGCCAAATAAAACAGGCCATAACAAATTGTTTCTTCGCGGTTAACCCACGTGTTGTTTATAGTACAAAAAAGGCCCTTCCGTCCATTCAAAAGGACAGCGTTCCTGCCACAAAAAAAATTCTGTTGTTTATGAATTTACGTGCCAGTGTGATTCTGGCTAGGTAGGACGCACCACCCAAAGATTGGAGGATAGGATAGAACAACACGTTCCATCTAATATTAGAAACAAAACACATCCCCAAAGAGAACAGCCACCTCGGTCTTGCAAATCTAAAATTACTACTAAAACCTGCGATTCTGCTATCGGGCAGCATTTGCTAGAAAACCCAGATTGTGCAAAAAACTATAATGGCGACATGTTTTGGATTATTGGTAAAGCCCGATCGTCGTTCCACCTAGCAGTTTTAGAATCTATCTACATAAGCACGAAAAAACCGCTCCTGTGTAGACAAAAGGAGTTCGTTTTCACCTTAGGACTCCACTGGTAACATTCTAATAGGCAAGCGGCACTGATTGGTCAACCTTTACAGTCATGTGCTCGTGTTTCTGATTGGCCTATTTCGATCCACAACCGGGTATATATATTTCTTAGCGTAGAGTTTTCGATCTATGTTCTGACGTTTTAAACTCTGAAGAGTGTCAGACGAAAAGCTTTAGTTTACTAAATGTTTGCTTTTTTCAAAGCCATTTAAAACGTTTTAAATACGATATATCGTAAACTTGTTGGCTGAACTCAAAAAGAGCTTTCGAGGCCATGTATCTTATTGGAGTGTTTTAGATTTAGAAGCTTCTAAGATTCCAAGAGTAAGAAAGAGAAAGAGGCTAACCATCGATGATCGTCCAGATGAAGTTGAATCAATGGGCACAGCAACAAACCACTATGAAATCGATCCTTACAAGACCACGCTGGACCTAGCAGTTGCAGAGATTGATTGCCAAATTTAAAAAACCTCAGATCTTTACAAAGATTTTGATTTCCTTTCTCTCACGTTTACAAAGAAATAAGCTAACAAGCATCCCCAAAGAGGAAAGTTTTGAGGAATACGTGGAGATCTCGAACAGTTAATAGAGGAAGGATTCATTGCAGAAGTTCCACCTGGCACCAAAGCTCTTGTTAGCACAGACACAGTTGCCTCCTGCCTTAAAAAGAATGAGCCTTGTAAAGTCTGCATCGCCTGTGCACTCAAGACTTTGCATGTGTATAACATGCATGTCTCGTCGTATCCTGCTCTCTACGTTGCTTATAAAGTTTCTATGACGCTGAGCTAATGTTCGAATGAATGTGAACGAATGTTCAGTAAATTAAAGTTTATAAAGAGTAGACTTAGAGGAGCCATTGGTCAGCCACACCTTGAATCACTGATGATATTTTCAAGTGAAGAGAAAAGCTTCCCGTTAGACTATAAACGCATAATAAATCAGTACGCGAGCTCTTCGCCGGTGCTTCAAAGAGAACTGAGCGTTTAATTGGATCTCATTTAGAGCGAGAACTTTTCATTTTATTTTGTTGAAGTATTGTTAAATCAGTCACGATTCTTTAGAATGTAGGTAAGACTGCAAAACAAACTGATCTCAAGTGTTGTGTCATATGAAAAACTCATAGTACTGGTTGACTGTTGCACTGCTAGACTATGGCTTTATTGCCTCCACATTGCCGCTTAGCCTATGCGCCCAAAATTGCTTTAAACCTGAAGTGAACTTTCACTCTCTTTCAATTCAAGTTTGTAGCAGAATGAGTTGTTTGTGCTGATAATAATTAATTCTAATGAATTGTTTTGAGGTATGGCTAGTAACATAACTTTTAGGTTTGTAGCTCGGATACTGAATATAGCGTATAGCAACCCGAGAGAATTGCTGCCAGTCCGCCTCTTCTTTTGAATCCACAACAGGCTCTAGTCTAGTGTCCCAACTTTTGACACGCAATCAGCATTTACAACATCAGCTGGCAGTGTACCCAGGAAATAGCTTAGATTTTACTTCTTTTGTTGAAGAAAAGCTAGACGAACTGTTGTTAAACGACTAGATTTTTCCTGCCGTGAATGGATGGTGCAATTTGCAAAAAGCACTACAACGAGAAAAGTGGCCTAAAATGACAAACGAAGAAGGAACACGACATCGGTGTTGTCAGTGCAGTTGGTCTATCCACCTATTGGATATTTCAGATATTATGAAATCGCTAAAATCTTCGCAAACTTATTTCCAACATAATATTGGGTCTGTGCGCAGGCTACGGCTATCCAGAAGCCCTACCTGAAGCGAAATTTCTTCACCAATTTCATTTAACGGACTCTTTAAAAAACGAATTTAATGAAATGCTGTGCAGTCTTATCGGACATAAGCGATGGCGAACTAGTATTTTTTTCTATTTTTTACTGTATGGTTGTGCAGTTTGCAAATTTTGTTATTCCAAAATTTGCAGCCAACCCTTTAAACTTCTTTTGATTCAATATTTCGGAGACAAAAATTCTCAGCTTCTTTAGGAGACCACAACAAGTTGCCGTAGCAAAGCCATTTCCAATGAGCAATGAAAATTTCAATTGCCTACAATAATTATCGAGCTAGATTGAACACAAGTTTTTGAAAAGCAAGATACAGCCCAAATGACATCAACCAAACTTTAATTGGGCTGCTGGAGAGCTTCTTTGAAGAAAGGCCTGTGTCCTAAAGGCTGAAAAAATCCAAGAGTAGAGGAGGTTTGATAACAGGTAACGATAAATTTGAGGAAATTGCAAAACCGCTACGAGCAGAATAATCAGAAAGAAAACAAAAGGGTACTAATTTGGTATAAAATTTGCCCTAGTAAAAGTAGGGAAAGTCAAAAGCCATTTCAATTTCGCTAATGTTGTGCTCGAAGAAATAAATAAAAAACCTGTTACCCGGTCAAGGCCACTAAAAGCATTATCTGTATGAATTCTTTCATTGCCTTTTGCATGATTCGAAATTTCTCTGAAGATCTGGTTTTTGACATTGCTTAAGTCATTAAGGACATATCTGCCGCTTCTTCCATGTCCATTCAACTCTTTTGCAATGTCATTTCCCTTGTCCACAAATTGGCTTAAACTCAAGTTTAGTGCAAAGTGTGAAGAGGCATTTATAGTACTGATATTAAGCTTAATCAATGCTTCTTTGAAAATTTTCTCGTGTGCAGCAACTTCAAAGATTCCGTGGATTGTAGCTTTCGTTCTTTGGAAAACAAATGCAAATGTAAGGATCTTTGTAACTGCAAACAGCTCCATTGCCAAATACATTGCCATCTATCAAACAATATATACTGCTCGTAGCTTTGAAGATTTTTGGTTCTTCAATTGGTGCTGTTTTCTTCTTCCAAACCAAATCTTGCTTCTTTCAGATTATTCTTTCATAGAAGAATGATGGAACGGCAAAATTTACTACTCAGCATCCAACACAACAGCCGATGGAGACGTTCACAAGGAAAATCTTATAATATCCCAAGAATAAGCATTTTACACACGCTGGGAATGTATGAATCTGATTACATATAACCAACATTCGATGTTTAAATACGTGTACCTGGTCATTTAACAGGTGCCTTGATACCTGAACGTAGGTGTCCCTGCTCTGTTAAGTTGCTTTGCTGAAATGCAAATCAGCAATGGAATGACTGCGTACCAGTTGCTAAGCTAGCCAAAAATTGTTGGTCCTGCTGTATGGACAGGACCATGCCCTTATTCAATAGGAAACGCCCATGAACCAAAGTTTATTTTTTGCAGATGATTTTTTTCTTAAATTCAGTATAAAGCAAATTCTAAACTTATGTCTATCTTTTGAAAAATGAACCTATACTTAACGGCGTGCTTTAGGGGTCTGACTTTTCAAACAGATCTATATCAAATTGTAATAAGCCTCTACAGCTGAGGAAAAATGCAAATTGGTGATAACTAAATTTCACAATAAAAGAGGGCAGAGGTGACATTATAAGTTGTATATGATATATTTGTTGTAGTTGAAATAGTCTAATTAGACTATTCCAGATTTTGGTCTCATAAACCTTACAAATCTAGATACTTTATTAAAATAATTTTAATAAATAAGTTTAAAGTCTTAAGGGGCAAGTTCACATATTCTGCAAAACAATTTTTCTGCAGCTGATAAAGAGAGGTACATTTGAATATGTGTCAACGAAAACAACTTTATTAAGAAAACCATTAGACGAGTAAACAATTCAGGTAGGAAAATACACTTTAAAGGGGCCTGTGCAACCAGCATGCTTTTCGCGCTCGCATTTGTTTTGTTTTTCTAACTGTGTTCTTCTATGCAAGACAGAAATGGCGAGGAGAATTCGATGGGAAATTTCTCGAATCAATTTAGCGATTCAGATCGCTTTTGACGGCTTCTTTTTGGTTTCATTTTGCGCACAGCTTGTGCTAACAGCTTTCCACCTTTTTCATGGACCACGTAAATGGCCGCCTTCCCAGCTTACGCCCGCAAAGGCTACTGGTTGTCCACGCCCCTTTAATACTAGCAGTTCAGCGTTCAGCTCATCGCTATTCAACATAGCAATCAG